TGTGGAAGGCTTCAAAGGTGACGACATGCGCTCTTCACGTGAGGAAACATCTCAGGGGTTTGGGGAAGGAGGCCGTTGGCACATTCAAACAGGTAGCATTTGAGGTGTTTGGATATGTGATTGGAAGACGAGAGTTTTATCCCCATTTCAATTGGGAATCAGCAAACTTGTGGAGTCCTGTAGCTCAGTGGTTAGAGCACTCGCTTTGCAAGCGAGAGACCTGAGTTCGATTCCAGGCAGAGGGCGAAACCTTGGGCAAGTTTCCTTACTCCACACAGAGCCTAATAATAATCCCTCCAAAACCAAAAACAATAACAAATTGGTCATTTTCAATCTACGACTGTTTGTAGGACATTGCTGTGCGCAATTGGCTGCCGCGTTCGCCCACAAATATACAGTCAATTCACTTTACAGTGTGTTCTGTGAAGCGCTTTGGGACGTCCTCCCGACGTGAAAAGCGCTATATCAAATGCAAGGATTATTATTAAACGGAGGAATGGTAGAAAATGTCTCCATCAGCCCACCATCAGGAGATCGGGACTTTAGCCTTTCTGCTACCACCCTTTGGAATTCCCTTGCCTCCTTCAAGGCCCGTCTCAAGACCTTCCTCTTCGACCGCGCCATCAATCATCCTCCTATCCCCACCCTCCCTGTCCTGCAGCCCTCCCGATCCCAACCCCCAGCTCAGCTCGGGTACAAATACTTGATTGTACAGCACCTTGGGACATTCTCCCGACGTTAAATTTGTTGTTGTTATTGTAGTGATTGATAACTCATTAGAGCCACTCCCCTCAAAAAGAGAGTCATACCTCAATCTCCTGAGGGGCGTTCCACACCCTGGGGAGGGGTGGTGAGTGGGTGGGAATGGGTGAAACCTCATTGTGTCTGTGCTGGTGCTGCTCCCCCACTGGCGCTCTCTTCTAACCCTGCTCTCTCCCCATTATATCTGTGCTGCGCTTGCTCCCCAATGGGTCTCTCCCCATATTCTGGTCCTAGTTTCCAGGTGAATTGGTTGTCCATCTTGAAACTGTGCGACCTTCCTGGCTGTCGTGCTTCGCAATAATTCAAACATTTCAGCATAATGACAGCAACCCTGACAATGCTGAGCTTCCTCAGCACTGCGCTAGAGTGTAAGTCCAGACTAGGAACTCAACGGCCCAGTGTCAGGCTTGAACTTCTGCCCCTCTAACTCGGAGTCGGGAGAGCTACCATCTGAGCCAGGCTGAGATTACTGCACCTCATATGTTGAAATATCTCAGTTATTACCAAATGTAGTCAAGTGTGCTGATCCTTAAACTATTGGAAAATAGAAGAGTTTCTCTCTCCTAGGGTCCGGGCTAACAATCCCCTAAATTGATCATTCATATCATGGCTGTTTGTGGGACATTGTTGAGCACCAATTGGATGGCAAGTGTTATTGTTACAAGTGTTTTTGTTGAGTTCTTTCTTTATGATCACAGCCTGGCCTAGAAATGAACAAATGGTGAATTATGGCCTCTGGAAACCTTGGAACTGAAAACTACCACCATCTGGTTATCAAGCCATCTTGATCACAGCTATAATATACTATAAGCTTTGCCTTCAGCTCAGGAACTTGATGGCAGATGGACGCTAGACCTTTTATTCACCCTGTGTGCTTTCAACTGATTAAAAAACACAATATGAGTTGAGTGGAGCTGACGATATCTATTTATGGATCATAGCTCTGTCAACACAGGAGAGCCTTTCGTTGATAAGGCCTTCGCCAATCTAATATAATTCCCACTTGTTTTCTTACTCTGATAATAAAAGTAATAATAATCCTTGCATTTGATATAGCGCCTGATCACATCTTCGAGACATCTCAAAGTGCTTCACAGAATATACTGTAAAGTGAATTGGCTGTATATTTGGTGGGCAAAACACAGCAGCCAATTGCGCACAGCATTTCCCACAAACAGTCGTGGATTGAATGACCGAATTATTATTATTATTTTTATGATCTCTTCCACCCACACTCTCTGTGCTCCACAGCCAAGATAGAGCTTTCAAATCTTCATCACTTATGAATAATAATGCTTGATTTTAATCTGATCCTATAAACACAAAACGCCTCAAGGGTTTCACAGATAATTGATATCAAATGTGATACTGTGTATTTGTAAGCAAATAAGGCAGCCAATGTCCACAGGAGCACACAAGCAGTCATGAAGTGGTTTAAATGATCAATTTTATGTGGAGTATTGTTGACATTGGGAGAAATTCCTCTCTCTTCTCCAATGGTGTCATGAGATCTTTAATGGCAGAGCGGAGGGAGCGGTCAGGTTGGTATGGGGTCAGCAGGTAACATAGGTAGGGAGATGTAAGGCTGTAGGTGACTTTGAAAGCAAGGTTGAGGATTTTCAACTCTACCTCTGGGGGATGGGGAGCCAATGGAGCCGGGCGAGGGTGGGGCTGATGGGATCATGGAGTCTGTTGCATGGGAGGACTGCATAATTCTGAATAATTGCAGCTTGTGGAGGGAAGAGATGGGAAGTCCAACAAGCAGGGTGTTAGCGTAATGAAGCCTCGATGTGATGAACCTACAACTTTCTGAATTAGAAGTGAAACCGCCACCAACTGAGAAACCGCCACCAACTGAGTCAAACTAACATAAACTGTTCACTACAAGATAAAACAGCTCATCACGGTCTACATTATCTAGTCGCTTTAGAAACTTGGCCAGTATTCCGCGCTCCTGATCTCTACAATTATTGAATTACACACAGAGATTCAGCACAGAAACACGCAAATACTCCACACGAGCCCCTACTCCTCTTATTCCTCTCTCCTGTACCCCTCTGTGCCATTCTCCTTCACTTGGACAGCAGTACCTCTCTTAAACACATTGATGCCTTTTGCTCGAATAACAAAAACACTGGTGAGGCCTCAGCTAGAGTATTGTTTTCAGTTCTGGGCACCACACTTTAGGAAGGATGTCAAGGCGTTGGAGAGGGTGGTTGCCTTGACATCCAGGATGGTACCAGGAATGAGGGACTTCAGTTATCAGGAGAGGCTAAAGAAGTTAGGATTATTCTCCTTGGAGCAGAAAAGGTTAAGAGGAGACTTGATAGACGTTTTCAATTATGAGGGGATTCGATAGGGTGAACAAGGAAAAACTATTTCCACCGGTGTGTGGATCAGTAATCTGAGGGCACTGATTTAAAATAGTTATTGAAAGAAACAGAGGGGAGGTGAGGAGAAATTTTTCCACAAGTTTTTGGGATCTGGAATGCATTGCCTGAAAGGCTGGTGGAAGCCGATTCGATAACAACGTTTAAGAGAGAAGTAGATAATTATTTGGGGACGACAAGTTTGCAGAGTATGGGGAGAGAGAGAGCGGGGGAGTGGGATTAATTTGGAAGCTGTCACAGACACGATTGGCCGAATGGCCTTCTTCTGTGCTGTATAATTCTATGATTCTATGACATGAAAGAATATTTAAGAACACGGAATGCTGCGAGAGTTACTAACGTTGGTAACTTTCCTGTCATTGATATTTCATGGTTCAGTGTTTCTCCACCTTGTTCATTCAGACCAGACACCGTGGACAGTCCTCTCCATCATAAACATTAATAATAATAATCCTTGCATTTGTTATAGTGCATTATCAAGTTATTGAGATGCCTCAAAGTGCTTTAAGAATATACTGTAAAGTGAATAGATTGTATATTTTGTGGGTGAAACGTGGCAGGCAATTTCACGTAGTAGTGTCGCACAAACAGGCGTGGATTGAGTGACAACTTTTTTTTGTTTGTTTGTTTTTTTGAAGAGATTAGTGTCCATGAAAAATGATCTACCAATTGACTAACAAACGAGTTCATACTTACTGCTAGATAAATTGAGGCATGTGGAGTAAACAAACTTGCCTAAGGTTTTGCCCTGCCCTGGAATCAAACCTGGGTCCTCTCGCTTGCGAGGCGAGTGCTTGAACCACTACGCTACAGTACTCAACAATTCCATGACTTTACACAACTCCTAAGATCACAACAATAGCAACAAATTACATTTATATTGCACTCTTCATTCGGTTAGCGTCTCAGAGCACTTGAATCACACGAGGTTTGGAAGAAGCCCCTTGTTTGATCTCATTGTTCCAGAACACCCTCCCATTACACCTTGAAGCTCTTTCTCAAATGAGTCCAGTCTCCTGGCCACAACCACTCCTCTGGGTAACCTGTTCCAGTTGTTGATGACAAGGATAATCCTGGTCTTTGTCCTGAAATTGCCTTTTTCAACCCCGAAGCTGTGGCCCATTATCCTGCTACCTTGGCAACATCCCATATATATGGTTCGGCATTTATTTTCTCATTTAGAAAATAAAAATCCATTTAGCGTCATAAGTGGCTTTGCAAAAATCCAGAGACTTCTTTTTCAAAGCTGACGAGTCTTTGTTTTCTGATTTTTCTCAAAAGCTCATTCTGCACAGATGTTCCCTTAAAAGTAAATGAATAAAAGCTCCCAAATTTCTTTCATTCCACCTCTACATTATAAAATCCTCAACCATTTATGGCAAGTTATTCCCAGAGCCTCATTAGCTGGTCTTGTAGACTCAGTACAACATCACATGATGCATTTACTTAATAAGGAATAAAACAATAATAATCCTTATATTTGATACAGTGCTTTTCACATCAGGAGAATGTCTCAAAGCACTTCACAGTAATATTGACTGACTGTATTTGTGAGGGCAAATGCGGCAGTCAATTTGGGGGTAACCATGAAGTCAATGACCAATATTATTTGGGGGATTGTTGACGTGCACAGAAACTCCCTTTTCTTTTCAAATAGTGCCATGGGATCTTTTACATCCATCTGAACAACAGATGGAACCTCAGTTTAACGTCTCAATCAAGGGACAATTTAACAGGTGTTTTGGACTTTAATATTGGCCCGTCATTCCACAGTGTTTCCAAATGGTGGCTTTCTGTCCTGCTACTCTGGGTTCCTGCAGTAACACAGTGGTTGTATTTGCTCCCCAGGGTGCCCTGTCTGTGGATTGCATCACGGATCTGGACGATAACCAGTCTCGCTTGCTGGAAGCCCTGCAGCTGTCTCTGCCGGCTGAGCTGGAGGGCAAGCGGATGGCCAAGAGCAAAGAGAAGCACAGCCTGAACCCCATCTACCAGCAGGTTCCCAGGATAGTGCAGCAGTGCTGCCAGCACATTGAGACATACGGTAAGCAAGGGATGGAGAAGAGAACGTAGAGGAACAACAACAGCAACAAAATTACATTTGTAGAGCGCCTTTAACATCGGGAGGACGTCCCAAAGCATTGAACAGTCAGATGTTGCGGTCCGAACATGGGTTAGGGCGGGTGTAGGGTTAAGGGAAGGCAGAGAGGTGGGAGGGAGACCAAAGGCACAATCGAAGAGAAGGGTCTTGAGACCGGCCTTGAACGATGCCGGGGAGAAAGCAAGGCGAAGGGAGCGTGGATGGAGTTCCAGAGTGTGGGGGCAGAGAGGCTGAAAGCCCAGCCACCGATGGTAGCGAGTAGTAAACTTATGGAACAGGCTCCCTCAGGAAGCAGAAAGTGTTGGTCCTTTCTAGAACAAATTAGATAGATTTCTGTTAGGAAATAATTCTCGGGGTTACAGTATATAGTTTGGGACATGACATGTGAATGAGACTGTAGGATGGTGGAAGGCAAACTGGATGCACTTTGGTCCTTCTTTCGTTTAGCAAATTCTTATGCTCTCACGTCAGGTAACCAGCTTTGGGTTCTCTGTTAGGACCTAAGGGTGTGAACAAGCCTGAAATTGGCTTTGCTGATTGAGTGTGTGTGACTGTGGATGTGTTTGATCTATCCACTTATCACATGTGGTGAAGCGCCTTGGGATGTCCTCCCGACGTGAAAGGCGCTCTATAAATGGAATCTTGTCGTTGTTGTTGTTGTTGTTGAAGCGATCGCTACTTTTTGTGATCTCTGTGTGAGACACACTCTTTTCACAACACACACATGTTCCCCGGCTGACACCTGGCTCAGTGGATGGAACTCTTGCCTCTGGTTGTGTATTCAAGCCCCATGTCGGGGACTTTGAGCTCAAATTCTAGGCTGACATTTCAGTGAAATACTGGGGGAGCACTGTATCATCAGAGGTGACACCCTTTGGATTAAACTGAGGTCCTGTCTGTCTGTTCAGGTGGACTTTAAAGATTTCATGCCCTAGCCAACAGTGCTGTAGATAAAAAACTAGCGTCATTTAGTCTGTATCTGTTTTACCGTCTAAGATTGCTGAGAATTGTGGAAAATTCTTCACTCCAATTCTAATTTGGAAATTAATTTTCCACAGTTGAGAAAACTGGCTTCTGAATGAAGACCACAGAATGAAGAACTTTCCACAGTTATCATGTTAGACAAACCCCGAATCTGTTTTCCCATTCTCGCTAATGTTGATGGTTTGTGCTGTGAGGTGATGGTGATATTGTTCGTTCCCAGGCCTGCAGACAGTCGGTATCTTCAGAGTTGGAAGTTCCAAGAAAAGAGTTCGGCAGGTAATTAAACCTCAAACCTCAAATCTTTTTGGAATGACCAGAGTTCCCGGGCAAGGCAAAACCTTAGGCAAATATCCTTACTCCACACACCTCTGCTTACTTAACAATAAGTAGGATCCTGGTTGTAAGTCAATTGGCTGATTGCTTTTTGGGTTAATAATCCCTTAAAAAAAATAATGTGGCTACTCACTCCACAACTGTTTGTGGGACACTGCTGGACGCAATTGGCTACCGACAAAATATACAGTCAATTCACTTTATATCCTGTGAAGCCCTAAGTGGATGTCTCAGTGATGTGATAAGGCGCTAGGTCAAATATGAAGATAATTATTATTATCATTAATCTCAGTCACTTACTCTTCCTCAAGTATGTATCGAGTTCCTAGGCTCAGTGCCGACTGTTCATCAGTTACAGATGAGATCACAGGGACTTCATTTCCGAGATTCCACAGTGTGGAAGGAAGTGGAGGAGCTGCAGGCCAGGATAAGAGGCAAGGCCACCGACAGTCCCTCCAGATCATCAACAGAATAAAACAGTTTTGTTATCTTTTCCCCCTTTCCGTGACTCTGGTGAGACCATCCAATGGTATTAACCCTATTGTGATTGGCAAGTACTAAAGCATCACCAGGGAGGTCGATTTCCTCTGGTTCTTAGTACTCGTTCTTTCACAAAGGACCTTGGGTCTGGTCCACCGAGGCCAGGATTGGGAACGGACAGAGTGCAAAGGGTAGACTCCTGGCCCCATGGCCTCTTTGTGCCCCTCTTGAACAACTGTCAAGAGGACTTTGTGCCTCCGGCAGCTATTGAATAGTTCTAATAGCAACTAAGCAAATAGCAAGACCTGCTTTTCCCCCAGAGAGAGAGGGAAAAAGAGAGAGGGGGGGAGTGAGGAAGAGAGAGGGAGAAAGAGAGAGAAAGAGAGGAGTAGAAAGAGAGAGCGGGGTGGGATGGGATGGAGAAAGACAGAGAGAGAGAGGGAGGAAGAGAGAGAGAGAGGGGGGGGAGAAAGAGAACAGAACAATTATTATTTGTGGTTTGGAATTTTCTATTCGCAAAATGGGTTTGGATAAAGATGACCCTTCAGCCCATTTGATCTCATCTTTCCAGAACACCCACCCTACCTCCTAAACCCCAAACCTGTTCTTGAAGGGTTCTGAGCACTCTTTCTCATTTGTATCATTGAGGGTGTATTGTCACTGTGCCATTTGACACTTATGCATATCAAATATCAACCTCTGAGCCATCATTTACTCAACTTTAACTTTCCCTTCCTCCTCTTGTTCTCTCTTTCTCTCATTGTCTTGTTCGCTCTCCCGCCTGCCTGCTCGCTCGCACTCTTTCTTCCATGAGAGACAAAGAGTGGAGTGGTACAGTGAATAGAAACATTCAACAAACAATGTTAACAAGACACAAACACGAGTTTCTGAGCTTGTAAATGACCCGTTCTGCCCATGCCCCAAGCTACATCCAGCAGACAGCTGAGCAGTGTGAGCTTTACTGATGCAACATGGCTTTCAAGTCAGTCACCTCAGGCCCTTTCACGCATGATGCAAGCTCATCTGAGCATCCTCTGTGTTCCCAGACTGACTCCAACCAAACCACATAGCAAGCCTGGAAACTCTGGGATTGTGGCTGATGCTGAGATCCTCTTAGTGTTGGGACGTCGTCCTGACATGAAAGGCACTATACAAATACAAGTTGTTGTTGTTGAGTCAGCGGTCAATGAGCCAAGGATCCTCACAAGGTTGTTTTGCATGAAAGAAGACCTTTTTTGGCCAATCTGATCCCATCCCTCCAGAACACCCATCCTAACATCCCTCCATCATGGCATCAAGCTGCTTTTTAAATGAATCCCAGTGTCCTGTCCTCAATCACCTTTCCAGTCGTCAATTACCCTCTGGAGAAAGAAAAGCGTTCTGGTGTGTGTCCTGAAATTACCTTCGGCGACTCTAAACCCTTGTCCTTCTTGTTCAGCAGTCTCAGTCCATCCTAAAGTATTGGTCTGGGTTCACTTTGTCAATCCCATATAAAAGTTTACACACCTTTATAAGATGTCTTCTCAGACTGACCTACTATCCCCCTACTTACCTGCCCGTACCCTCCGTTCCTCTGGCTCCGGTCTGCTCCACATCCCCCGCCCCAACCGCTCTATAAATGGAATTTTGTTGTTGTTGTTGTTGTTGAAGAGCCCCAGCTTGTCTAACCATTATTCATCATAGCTCATTCTTCTCAAATTGACAAACATCCTGGTTGCTTACGACTAGGGATGGACAGACCCTTTATGTAATGTTTTCCGGATTCCGTGCTCTTTCAGCTGCGGGAGGAGTTTGACCAAGGGCTGGATGTGAGTCTGGATGAGGAGCTCAGTGTCCACGATGTGGCTGCTCTCCTGAAGGAGTTCCTGAGGGATTTGCCGGAACCTCTGCTCCCCCGGGAACTCTACACCGCCTTCATCAATACAGTGGGTAAGTGCATAGCGCCTGCTCCCCTCACCAACCCCCCACCTACAGTGTAGAGGAAGCTTCACTCTGGTTCTAACCCGTGCTATTACTGACCTGGGAGTGTGGACGAACAGTGTAGAGGGAGCTTTACTCTGTCTCTAACCCTGACCTGGGAGTGTGAATGGACAGTGTAGAGGGAGCTTTACTGTGTCTCCACATTGTTCAGTTTCGCAGCAAGGTGGTGATAAACACAATCCCCAACCCCACACACACACACACTGTAATGGAAACAGCTGGAACTGTCATTATGGGAGAGACAAAACATTCGGACAGCAGATTAGCACGAACCAGTGGACTTGTTGCGGGAGTGTGTCCAAGGTGAACGCTGCTGGCTGTGATGAATAGATTCCCACTGGAGCCGCTGATGGCTGATGTCTCTGCTGTTTGTTGTTCCCCAGCCCTGGGATACAGTGAGCAGCTCTCAGTCCTGAAGCTGCTCATCTACCTGCTGCCGCCATGTAACTGTGACACTCTGCTCAGACTGCTGCAGTTCCTGGCCAAGGTGGCCAGCTACGCCTATGACACCATGGGACAAGACGGCCAAGAGGTAACTACGTCAAATCCCACACTAGGATTGTGTTTGTGAAGCCCGATAGCTGAGTGGTTAGTGGGCTCAAGTTGCAAACGAGAGGACACAGGTTTGATTCCCAGGCAGAGTGAATCCCTAGACAAGATTCCTTACTCCACACGCACGCCTCTGTTTACCTAGCAGTAATTAAGAACCTGGTTGTTAGTCGATTGGCGGATCGCTTTCCTAGGATAATAATCTCCTTCCCCACCCCCCAAATAATTTGGTCACTCGATCCGCTGTGCGCAATTTGTTGCCAATGTTTCGTCCACAAAGACGCAGTCAATCCACGTTACAATATAACATGTGAAGCGACTCGATACGTCCGAATGACGAAATGCAGCACTTATCAAATGGAACGATTATAATTATTATCACGTGCAAGTTTCGCAAAGAGAATGCTCTGGTGACCTCCTGATGAACCTCTGCTTTGCCCTCTCTTCCACAGTTTGTCTTTGTAAAATGCGTGGCCCAAAATGGAACACAAGTCCCCAGCAATGACCTAGCAACGTCAGGTGGGGATCGAGCATCACTTGCCTTGCTCTAGTGTTCCTCAGGCTAAACTATAAAGTGCGGTCAACCCTCGGCTTCTGACTGGGTCTCGAGGAATGCTAACTCATAGCTCCCCAAACTTTGACTTCTTGTCTCTTCTTGACATGTTTTAGGAAAGAAAGGCTTTTGTTTATGGATAATAGAGGAGAGCGAGAGATGAACTATTTCCTTTTTGGCAGCACATTGTGTGTGTTGCTGGGACAATGTTTTGTGGTTAAGTAATGGAAGGACAATCCATCAGGAGCATTAATACGTTGAGGAGACTTTTTTTTATATAAAAGGGGTGATTTCACAACACAGATTGAACAGACACCATTCAATCCCAGCAGCACTAGACTGCTTCTTATCCCCCAACCCGACCCACCATCAGTGGCCAAGCGTTTAGCCATTCTGCCCCTCTTTATCTACCTAACTCCATCCTTCTGCCTTGCTTTAAGTACTCGTTAAGACCTTTTGCTGACCAGGCTTTTGGTCACTTCCTTCCCCATTCACCTAGCTCCCCGCACCCAAATTAGAGTTTGACTCCCAGTGTGAAGTGCTTTGAGACATCCTCTCAAAAGGTGATGTCACTGTACAAGTGTAAATTGTTGGCATTATTGATGGACCAAGCAGTCGAGATGTCCCGGTGTCTGGGCGTGTGGGGTTGTCACGTGTTGAATAGGAAGGGATTGTTGGTTCTTCCTCATCCTTCAAAGACTCCCACCCCTTTCCATTCAGATCGTCGGGAACAAAATGTCCATCTCCAACCTGGCCACCATCTTCGGCCCCAATCTTCTCCAGCGGGAGAAGAGCTTGGAGAGGGACTATAGTGCCGAGGCGGAGGAGAGCTCAGCCGTTATCACTGTGCTGCAGAGACTGATCGAAAACCACAACAGCTCTTCACTGTGAGTAACAATACAAATGTGGCACACTTAAACCACCTCACAGGTACAGGAACAGGTAGAAGCCATTCAGCCCATCGAGCCTCCTCCACCAGGGTCTTGGCATCATCCCAATGCCCTCACCCTTCGTCACACACATCAATATCTCCCGAAGCATTTTGCAATGGTGTCCTCTAGCTCAGTGGTTAGATCACTCATCTCGCAAGTGAGAAGATGAGGGTTCCATTCCTGGTCAGGATGAAACGTTAGGCAAGTTTTCTTACTCCACACACCTCTGTTTACTAGTATGTAGGAACCCCTTTGTTAGATGATTGGCGGATCGCTTTCCGGGGATGATAATCCCTCCAAAAAAAATGTGGTCACTCGATGCACGACGGTTTCTGGGACACTGCTGTACGCACTTCATTCAGAGAGACAGAGAGACACTGATTTGCTTCACGCCTGCACAAATCACAAGACAGAGGGAAATGAATGAAAGAAATTAGAATCAAAGAATAGAAATGGTGACCTGTAAATAAATAGCAAGCTTGTGCGTTATACAGAGTACTTGCCAACCTGCGCCTAATACTCACTGGAACTGGGAAAACATCCCTGTAGGGAGAGAGTGCATGTTCCATTAAAACATGGTAAATCTCCATGTGTAGAGACATGGATCTCTAAAGTTTGATTGCTCATGAGCACTGTGATGGGCTTCTACATGCGTCAGAAACGCGGCTGACCAAAAAAGCATAGCTTGTGCCTGGTGATTGAAGGAGATACTTTGTGGTCTCAACATTATTCTTTGTTGTATGTTTCCAGTTTGAAGATGTGTATTTAGATAATAATGAATCTTGCATTTGATGCAGCACCTTCTCATCTCAAAGCACTTTGCAGAGTTTTTCACTCAGAGTGTATGACTGTATTTGCAAGTGAACACAGCAGCTGATTTGCGTACAGCAGTGTCCCACAAACAGCCATGAAGTGAGTGACGAATGTTTTTTATTTCGGCCAGAACACCAGGGGAAAACTAATTTTTCTTTTAATAATATTATTAATTTCTCTTTTGTGTGAACGGTGCTGTGTAAATGCACACACACACGCACACACAAATTGGGCAAAGGGGTTTAATTGTTCAGTAAAGTTCCCTTCCTCAGCCACACATCCTCTAATCTACAAAGTCTCTTTCTTTGTTTCTCCTCCTCTTGCATCTTCACCCGGTTGAAATAAAAGCTACCAGACTCCTACTTAGCACATTCTTTCTCAGGATCTCAAGCCTGTGGAACTGCTCCCATCCCTCACACACTCTGGGCACTTGTCAGCACTCGGCTGGATCCCCATCTGATTTCGCCTCTTTTAAACAGAATTTGGAACATGAAGAAACATTTTGCACGCATTTCCCAGTTATCCAGTGTAGAAACTAATTGCTCACTTTAATCTGTTCCCAATTGGACTTGGGATAATTCCCAGCCCAAACCTGGAACTCTCTCTCTTTTGGATAAAAATTTTGTTTGGCATTTATACACAGTGCCTGACGGTACAAGGACAAATCCCAGTAATTCCATTACACTGGTCGCAACTTTCCCTCGTGTGTTTATTGACTTCAAGTTGACTTCAAAGGAACAAAGTTCAGTCCTAGAAGAGATGAAGGGTGAAAGATTGTGGTGACGCAGAGCTTGATTACTCAAGGTGACTGGTTTCACTTGCAGATTGTGTCCGGATGATCTGATGTGTCTTTATTGCCTTCATGTGATAATCTTTAAACTCTGTGTTCTGTAATAGTAATCTTTGCTTTTGATACAGCGCCTTTTCCAAGTGATTGAGTCATCTCTAAGTGCTTTGTGGAGTTCACTGTGGCTATATATTTTGTACTCAAAAGTGGCAAATAATTTGTGCACAAATTTGGAGTGAGTGACCAATGTTATCCAGAGGATTGTTGGCCAGGACATCAGGAGAAACTAGTGCCACGGGATCTTTAATATCCACCTGAACATGAAAGGATCTTGGTTTAAGGTCTCTCCTGAATAACGGCACCTCCGAAAAATGCAGCACTTCCCCAGCACTGCACTGGAGCCTAGACTGTGAGCTCATAGTCCCAACATGGGGCTTGAACCCACAACTGAGTGATAATAACAACCAGGATGAGTAGACTGCTAACATCGCAGAGCGAACACAGACATTTTAGGTTTGTTTTTCTCTGGGGACAGAATACCACTTCCTGGAACAAAATAACTGGAGAGAACTTTATTAATACTGTAATCCAAAGCAGATTCTCAACTCCGCTGCAAAAAAAATCCTTTGACTTTATGCTCACTAGTTTTCTCACGAGCTATGAGATGCTTTGTGGTTTTAGCCGGTTAGACTCCAGCAGTTTCCCGCAACTCATACTCTGGGTCCCCAAACCTTGTCTCTTGCCAACCTCCGCCTAATACTTTCTGGATTTGGGTAAGCAGAGAAAGAGAGCATATTCCATTCCAACAATCTATCTCTGGGATTTCCATGTGTAGGTGGGATACATGGAATCCTCAGCTTGGTTTGGATACTATTAAGCATAGTGATGGGTTTCCACGTGTGTCAGACACTCGGCTGACCAAAAAAAGCGTAGCTTGTGCATGGTGATTGGAAGGAGCCATGTTGTGGTCTAAGCTTTGCTCTTTGTTGTATGTCTCCAGTATGAATAACAGCAACAAAATTACATTTGTATAGCGCCTTTCATGGTGGGAGGACGTCCCAAAGCACTGCACAATCAGTGTTTCAGAAACAGCATCTAATATACAGGAAGGAATCATCTTAAAGGATTTATTTTCAAGTTAACTTTATCAGAGTAGGCCAAAGCAAACTGCATATATGACAAATGATACAAAATCATAGAAATGTATGGCACAAAAAAGGTCATTTGGCCCATCATGTCGGTGCTGGCTTTTATTAGCAATCCTTGAGTCCCATTTACCTACCTGTTCCCCATATCACTTTCCCCAAATCCCCATAGATTTACTGAAGGATAAAAACGAGTATCTGAAGGAATATTTGGAATGAATAATGTATAATAGTTGGTATGTTGCCAAAAAAGCAAGGTTTTTTGTTTCAAACAAGATGTTTAAGTTTTACTGTGTATAGGAAATAGAAGCATTGGAAACAAATTTTACATTATATAAAAGTTGCGATTGTGTGTAGACAATAATATTTTCTCAACCTCCAATAGCCTCTGCTTTAATGAATATGTTAAGTTTTACAGAAATACAAATAACTAAAAAAGTGGAAAAGTTTATACATATCTATTTATAGGTGCAAAAATCCAAACCAAACTGAGAGTTCCATGCATCCCACCAAAAACAGGAAAGGGTTTGGTCCATTGAAATTCAACACAATGGATAACCTTGATCTTTTAATAATTAACGAAATGTTTTCCAATGTTTTTTGGTCAGTCGTGTGTCTCACACATGAAACCCATCAACACGCTTATCCAAACCAAACTGAGAATATCCATGTTTGGCACCTACACATGGAAATTATAATAATAATAATAATTTGGTCACTCAATCCACGACTGTTTGTGGGACAATGCTGTGCGCAATTGGCTGCCGTGTTTCGCCCACAAAATATACAGTCAATTCAACAACAACAACTTGCTGTATAGCGCCCTTCACGCTGGGTAGCATCCCGGAGCGATTCACAGTGGCACAGTCTGACAACGAGACAAGGGGACAGGGAGGTGGGAGGTGGCAATAAGCACGATCAATAAGTAAGGAAACTTGCCTAACATTTCTCACTGCCAGGAATCCAACCCAGGTCTCTCGCTTGCGAGGCGAGTGCTCTAACCACTGAGCTACAAGAATCCACAATGCTACCTCGTCTATGTCTCTTAGCTCACACTTCTGAGGTTTGCCAGCCTAATGTTGTACACTAGAGTTTGGTTACATGCTTGTATTATATCACAAATCAAATCGAATCTTCCTGAGCGGCGATGTTATAATAATAATAATAATAATAATCCTTGCATTTGATATAGCGCTTTTCACGTCGAGAGGACGTCCCAAAGCGCTTCACAGAACACACTGTAAAGTGAATTGACTGTATATTTGTGGGCGAACGCGGCAGCCAATTGCGCACAGCAATGTCCCACAAACAGTCGTAGATTGAAAATGACCAATTTATTATTGTTTTTGGTTTTGGAGGGATTATTATTAGGCTCTGTGTGGAGTAAGGAAACTTGCCCAAGGTTTCGCCCTCTGCCTGGAATTGAACTCAGGTCTCTCACTTGCAAAGCGAGTGCTCTAACCACTGAGCTACAGGACTCCACGTTGATGTTGAAGGTGACATGTGAAGTTCACAATCGCTGTCACCTCCTGTTTGACTCTACATGTAATGAGACCAATTATATTACAAAGAGGCACTTTGCAAAGCTCTACACAGCTTTACACACAGCTGAAACTGCTGATCATCCTTGTGATCTGCAATCTCAATGTTTCATCTCGTTTTAGAGCGAGGTGTCAACATGACAAACAGCCAGTGGAGGTCAATGATTGAACGCAAGGCAGGTTCGAATGAAGAAGGCCCTTCATTCTCTTTGATCATTTTTTTCAGAGTATCTACACGCTATTCCCGATACAGCACTGAGCTTGTATTATGTCAGTCCAGTGATCCGGTCTGAACCATTCTTCCTAACAATCCATTTCAGCTTTTTTTGTCTCCCTGTGGCTGTTTGTGGGACATTGCAGTGTATACGTTGGCTGTCACTTTTGCTACAAATACAGTCACTGCACTCTACAGGAAAATCCTGCGTTTGTAGGTTTCAGTGATGTCCTTGGCGAGGTCAATTCCTGTGCTTTTTCTGCAAAGCAGGAAAGATGTCAGCAGTGACCTGGGGATGTGGACTTCAGCCATTTTGTTTGGTTAAAACTCCTGATTTCCTGGCCATCAGATTGCCACGGATGATCACCACGGATGATCACCACCATTTCTGTGTGCTCCGTGTGCTGGAGGTGATGTAAACAGGAACCTTATGGCTCGCAATTTGCCCATTTTAGTGTGAGAACCGCGTATGCGAAGCGAGCAGGAAATCTACAGTGAATGGGGTCCACACTTACAGCCACAATAAAGTGTAGAGAAATAAGTTATCGACCTGCGCTCGGCGGGCTCCGGCCTGCTCCACGTCCCCCCGCCTGGTTTGCGTCACCAATCGCGGTCGGGCCTTCAGCCTCTCTGCTCCCACCCTCTGGAAATCCTTCAAGACCTTCCTCTTCAACGGCGCCTTCATTCACCCTCCTGCCCCCACCGTCCCTGCCCTCCACCCCTCCTGATCCCAACCCTCAGCTCAGGTCCAAATCCTTGACAGTCCAGCACCTTGGGACGTCCTCCCGACGTGGAGGGCATGGTACATATGTAAGTTGTGGTTGTTGTTATCATGGCAGGTCCACAATGTAACTCTAAAATTCTGTGATTCTATCTCCTATTTTATCTTTTACCGTCTTAACCAAAATGGCTGACATCCAGATCACTCTTCCTGCTTTGTGCACACACAGGAAGTGATAGCTCCATCAACGTCTTTGAAATCTTTCTGCCCCACCCCACTCCCGTGCAGCGCAGGGGATGGGGAGTGTGAAAATCAAGTCATTAGTAAATGTTTAAAAACAAAATACAAATATGAAAACTTTCCAAAACTCAACCTCAAGAGACACAGCACTGTGTCCTTTTCTTGACCTGCAAAACAACTCATAATTGTATCTGGGAACTGGGGAAAAAGTTGTTCTTTAAAATAGAAATTCGATTTCCTAACTTCATTTCTTCCATTCGGTATGTGGTATCAGAGGTGTTGCCAGTCCTCAGCGCCTTGGGATGTCCTCCTGACATGAAAGGCATTATACAAATGTAATTTTGTTGCTGTTGTCGTTGTAAGTTCAGTGCTTATACAGCGGGTTCCTCCGCTCTGGAGACAGCTGCTTCCTATCTCCCTCTCTCCCGCACATGGTCAAATGGACTAACCTCCTTGGGGGAGGTAATCGAGGAGAGGGAAGCTTGCTATCAATGGCAAACTATGTGGTTTTAACTGATTAGACTCCATCAGTTACCCCAACACTCTGTTGTCCCCAAGTCTTGGCTCTTGCCAACCTGTGCCTAATACTATCTGGAATTAGTTAAGCAGGATGTGTCCCTCCAGAGAGAGAGAGAGAGAGCACAGTCCATTTCAACAATCTATCTCTGGGATGGATTATTATTATTATTATTTTTATGTGTAAGTGGGATACATGGAATTCTCAGTTTGGTCTAGAAAGAGACTCTTGAGCAGGTGATGGGTTTCCACAGGTGTCAGACAACAATAACTTGCACTTATATTTGCGCCCTCCACACAGGGTAGCGTCTCAGAGCGCTTAACAGTGGCGGAGCCTGACTCTGAGCCGGGGGAGGGAAAGGTGACCGCACGACACCCGGCTGACCAAAACAAAAGTCAAATAGAAATGGAGCAATGTGCCCAGTAACTGGCGGGGGGTGGGGACCACTGGTAACCAACCCCTCTCGGAGCTCACAGAGTGAATGGTTTTCCACTGTGGCCAATCCAGGTACTCTTAAAGGGGTAATGTTGGCATCAGCTTGAAGAGGAAGTCCCAGTCTCGAGGTTGGATGCTAGGATTGGGAGAGTTCCGTTCAGCGACAGCTTTCCTCAGACAGCAAAGTTTAACTTGCTCTTATACAGCACCTTTCATATTAACCAAATACAACTTGCATTCATATCGCGTCCCTCACAAAGGGTAGCGGCCCAGAGCGTGTGAGAGAGAGAGAGAGAATGACAGAGAGATGAGAATAAAAGAAGAGAGAAGAAAAATAATAAAAAAGGCAGAAAGAAAGCGAGGGAGAAAAGGCATGTGATATTTATGTGGCAGACATTCCCCCATGTTTAGATTTACTCTAATCTATGCGTCTTGTGAACTCTACAGAATTTGGCAAACTGTTGAACTCTGTCCTAACTTTGAAGTTGTTTCTCTCGAGTCCTTCAAAGAAACTTTTGAAACATTGGGGAAAAAAAGGTTTCAAAATCAAAATTGCATTTAAAATTCTGCCTCATTCTGAATAGTCTGAGATGCTGCATTGATGAGAAAAATTAAATCTAAATTAAATCCAAAAAAAGCTGGACGGACACGTGAGGGCGAAGGGAATAGAAGGGTGTGGGAGTGAGTGAGGAGTGATGGAGGCGAGGTGCGGAGTATAAACACCTGGCGGGGTTGGGGGGGGTCGAATGGTCTGTCTTCACGCTATTCAGTCTGTATAAATCTATGTAAATCTGGACCCGGGTGGAATTTCTCCATAAATCTCTCGCCGTAAAAATTCACTGTCGCGAAGAAGAGATCGTTCTGAGACGTTGCAAAGCCTCCCTTACCTCACTTCCCAGTGCACTCGCATCACACACGAGGTGACAACAGGGAGTGAACTGGACACCAAGGGGGCTTTTACTATAAATACAGAAACATAGAAACAGGAGGAGGCCATTCAGCCCCTCAAGCCTGTTCCACCATTTTATAAGATGATAGTGATCTGTAACTCAAGTTCAGTTACCCACCCCCCCCGCCCGCCCCATAATCCTTGATACGCTGACTTAACAAATATAAATCTAATATCTAGTTATTTTCTAATTTTCTCCCCCTCTCCCCCCACATAGTTCTGGCCTCTTGGCCATTGATTGATTCCATTATATTCCGGCATCATTATCTTACACATAATCACACAAACCCCCAATAAACCGTACCACACACGACAGGTATACAGCCAACGACAAGGCTTCACGACTTGTTTGTGAGACAATGCTGAGCGCAATTCCACACAATACACAGTAACTCTACGTGAGTAGACAATGGTGACAGGTCCACAGACAGCGGTGCCAACACAGACACGGACAAGAACACGGAGAGGGAACAGACACGGATACAGACACAGACACAGTCGTGGACCTGGTATGCGGGCGGGTGGTTGGGCGGGCGGGCGGGCATTCAGGGTTGTGCTGGGTTGACCATGTGGTCAGACTGAGCGTCTGGTTGTCCTATAGGTGTCTCAGGAGCTGCAGCATGAGGTGCTCTCCAGGCTGCTGAAGACGGATGCAGACGTGGTCCACTATTTGCTGCGCAGGAGACGGCAGGGCCAGACGTGAGTAAAGGGGAGGCCCGGGAGAGTGGGGGGGGCACACAGCTCAGGGGTGGTGGAGGTGGGGGGGGACACGCAGGGAGACAGCAATACACCAGGACAGTATGTACACTGAGTTGAGTCCTGTAGCTTTGCAAGTGAGAGACCTGAGTTCAATTCCAGGCAGAGGGCGAAACCTTGGGCAAGTTTCCTTACTCCACACAGAGCCTAATAATAATCCCTCCAAAACCAAAAACAATAATAAATTGGTCATTTTCAATCTACGACTGTTTGTGGGACATTTCTGTGCGCAATTGGCTGCCGCGTTCGCCCACAAATATACAGTCAATTCACTTTACAGTGTGTTCTGTGAAGCGCTTTGGGACGTCCTCCCGACGTGAAAAGCGCTATATCAAATGCAAGGATTATTATTATTTGAGATGTGCAGTGCTGGGCTGCGGGTGTCCCAGCTCCTGGGGATGTCCTCTCCATGTGAGAGGCGCAAAACAACTCTAGTTGTTTGTGGTTGACCCTCACTAACCCCCCCTCCCCCCCCCTGTCACACAGGGCCGTGGATGAAGAAGCGGAAAGCTTAGGAATAATGGGAATCCACTCCCCAAAGACCGCGTCCAATCCTGGGAGTGTGGACGTCTCAGCCCTCAGACCTGTACCCGAGCCTGTGCCGCTCTCCGCACCCCAGGGACAGTGAAGAGAAGCTCGAGGACCCCAGCCTGTGCTTTGCTGTGCCAGCCCCCCACCACTGCGGACGGACACACCCTCAACAGCCACAGACACTGAGCAGTGAGTACCTTAGCCACGATTACACTATCGGCACATAGAAACTCCTCACTGTGGGGGTGTGTATGTGAGAGAGAGAAACACTGTGTGCATGAGAGAGAGAGGCACTGAGTGTGCGTGTGTGTGAGAGAGACACTGTGTATGTGTGTGTGAGAGAGACACTGTTTATGTGTGTGAGCGAGAGACACTGTGTGTGTGTGTATGAGCGAGAGACACTGTGTGTGTGTATGTGTGAGAAAGAGAGGCACTGTGTGTGTGTCTGTGTGTGAGCGAGACACTGTGTGTGTGTATGAGCGAGAGACACTGTGTATGTGTGTGTGTGTGCGAGAGAGAGAGACACTGAATGTGAAAGAAAGACTAAGGGAGGGACCGTGTGTGAGAGACAGAGAAAGGCAGAAAGAGGCAGCGACAGAGAGAGAGAGAGAGAACGCTCATCCCAAGTTGAATCCAGAAGATAAAGTCAAAGTCTCACGGGGACTCTCCTCCCTCCAGCTCACAGCACGATGACCGCACTGAACACAGGCGGACAGACATACATCAGCCACGGAACCTGATAGGAATTGAAGAACAAAATACACAGTCGCTGCGCTTCACAGTCTATTGTGTGAAGCGCTTTGAGACGTCTCAACGAGGTGATGAGGCGCTGTGTCAAACACAAGGATTATTATTATTATTATATTAGCTGCTGACTTTGCTGTGTTGGTATTTCAGGGCTGGAGACGGGCAGGATATCGGGTTCATACGAAAACCTGAGCAGCAGCAGACGGACACGGCCCCCGGCCCCGATCCTGGACCTCCAGCTCAGGGGGCTGAACCTCGCCCACACCGGGGGCAGCCATCTCCGCAGAGTCTGGTCAGACAACTGCCCGGCCCCCAGCTCGCTCGCACACTCCCAGACTGAGTGGCCACACGCACGCAGCGTGGACCCTCCCCGGGCCGGGGGCCACGGCGCTGAGACCGGTGTGTGGCTGAGGAGGGACTGGGAGAGCAGCCCCCTGGGCCCCCACGGACAGCAGCCTCGTCTCCCCAGCCTGAGCGCTGGCCTGAAGGCCGACAGGATGCGGGAGACCCCAGTGTGACTCACTCGCCCGACTTTCAACGCCTCACCTTCGGGATGTTACTGACAACAGACCTCCCCCACCCACCCCACAGCTCAGCATCAGGGACCACCCAACTGTTCACCGAGAGACTGAACGACCCCCTCCTCATCGGAGTCCGGAGCCACAGGGAGGGTTGTAAATGGTGTTAAAACCCCAACACTCAGACCCAGCATCTCTGAGAGTTTGGGACGCTACCCCACGTGAGGGGGCGCTGTATAAATGCAAGTTGTTGTTGTAGTAATGTGGAGATCCTGTTATCATATGCACTATTTTATTGTAATTACACTGAGATCTGCTTATATCATCACTATATCTCTCTTCCTTGTGATGTCGTGATGTCCAGGACTCCTGCCTCTGAGTCAGAAGGTTGTGGGTTCAAGCCCCACGACAGGATTTGAAATCACACAGTCTAAGCTGATGCTCCAGTGCAGGGCTGGGGGGGGGGGGGGCGGGGTGGGCTGCATGGTCAGAGGTGCCGTCCTTTGGATGAGACGTTAAACCAAGAAGGGAATTTCTCTCTCTCCCCCCCACCACCCCCGGTGTCCTGGCCAACAATCCCCCTAATAATAAAATTGGTCGCTGACCTCATGACTGTTTTGGAGATGGATATTGCTGTGCGCAAAATGGCTGCTGAGTTTTGCCTACAAAATACTCAGTCACTACAGCCTCGACACCTGAAGTGACTCCCCGTGCAGAGCTGGGAGATGCTTCAGTGTTCGAGGCTTATGTTCTGATTTGACGTGTGGCTAACACCAGAAGAGAGAAACCACCTGTATTTTGTAGGCAATTGATTAGATTTAATTCCTTTTTTTAAAAAAAATTGTTTTAATTTGTTTTAATTACGCAATAGTAATAATAATCCTTGCATTTGATATAGCACCTTATCACATCTTCAAGACGTCTCAAAGTGCTTCACAGAACATACTTTAAAGTGAATCGACTGCATCTTGTGGGCGAAATGGGGCAGCCAAATGCGCACAGCAGTCGTGGATTGAGTGACTACATTTTTTTTAAGGAATTATTACCCCCCCGGAAAAGCGATCCACCAATCGACTAACCCTCGGAGCTGTAATAATAACTTTTCTTTGATTCGTAGCCTTTCCCATCGGGAGACGAGCCCTCGGTTTAACGTCTCATCCGTAGGCCGGCACCTCTGACAGAGCAGCACACCCCCAGCGCTGACCTGAAGTGGGAGCTCACAGCAACATAGGTTAATTCCACCCACATTTGGTGATCGGCGGTGATGATTTGGGAAAAATCTGCCTCACAAGATTCCCACCGCAGGGGGTGATGTTGTGAGATGTTTCGGTCAAGATCCCCATTTGCTGATCAACGTCGCCATCTGTTGCCGTTGAAGGGCATTTGATCAGACAGTCCAGACAGACTGCAATCTCCTCGCAGCAGTGCTGTGTGTCAGTCACACCGGCTCTCACTGAGCCATTGCTGTTTGCACCGCTTCCAGTTGTAGCTCAGTGGTTAGAGCACCCACCTCACAAGCGAGAGGTGATTCCCGGGCAGGGGGAAGCCATAGGCAGGTTTCCTACTCCACATGCCTCCTCTGTATACCTTAGCAGTAATAGGTTGTTAGTCAATTGGCGGATTGATTTCCGGGGATAATAATCCCTCCAAAAAAATAAAGAATTTGGTCACTCAATCCACGACTGTTTTGTGAAATGCTGCTGTGCACAGTCGGCTGTCGTGTTTCACATACAAAATATACAGGCGATTCACTTTACAGTATATTTTGTGAAACCCTTTGAGACGTCTCACTGATGTGATCATCAGGCGCTATATCAAATGCGAGGAATATTATTATTATTTTGCTTTCCTAAACTTGGAAACGCCAGCAGTTTGTGAGGTTAGCACAAGGATTAAGTAAAGAGCAAATCCTGGAGGTGTGATACCTGGCTCCGTGAAAAGGCATTAGGACACTGCGATCAGTCCATCAGAAGGTCATAATGATAATAATAATAATCCTTGTATTTGATATAGTGCCTTATCGCGTGATTGAGACATCTCAAAGTGCTTCACAGGGTATACTGTAACGAGAATTTGATATAGAAATGTAAATGTGATATAGGAAAAGGGGCTCGAGACATCTTACCGGTGTGGGAGGTGCAATATACATGTAAATTATTTTACTATATTCCAGTATTGTATTCCTGAGATCAAATGAGCTGCCATATTTGTCTACAAATACGCAGAACCACAACAACAACAACAGCTCTGTGCTGTGTGTTGAGACGTTGAATACAATGCGCACTGGATCAAATAGAATGGTTATGGGATGGAGTTGAAGTACAGATCAGCCATGATCTAATGAAATGGTAGAACAGACTTGAGGGGCTGAATGGCCTCCTCTTTCTATGTTTTTGTGTAACTTAGCATTATGGCTTTAATTTTGTACTCTCAGCTCCTGTGTGTTTTTGGTCATCTTTTCCCTCCCTTCAGCTACACTCCCCCAGCTCAGGGGTCAAGCACTGTATTAAGCTCTTTTAGACGTCCTCCTGACATAAACTGTGCTGTATAAATGTAAATTGTATTGAAATTACCGTGTATATTGTATAAAGCTCATCACAAATACTTCTCTGTTTGTCCACACAGTGGCAGCATTGCACTCACATTCCACATGTAACCTGTGTTCACCGCTGTCTCAGGAGAAAAGGGTTTTCATTTTTAATAATGTATATGTATATATATCTTTCTGCATTCAGTGTTCATCGCCCAACAAACATTAGTGACAGAGTAAAGATCCTTCTACACTGTCCGTCCACACTCCCAGGTCAGAGTTAGAGACACAGTAAAGCTCCACACTGTGTGTCCACACTCCAGGGTCAGGCTTAGAGACGCAGTAAAGCTTCCTCTACACTGTCTGTCCATACTCCCAGGTCAGAGATAGACTGTAGAGGGAGCTTTACTGTGTCTCTGTGTCCACACTCCCAGGTCAAGGTTAGAGACACAGTAAAGCTCCCTCTATACTGTCCGTCCACACCCAGGTCAGCGAGAGAGACCATCATAGAGTTATACAGCACAGAAGGAGGCCATTCGGCCCATCATGTCTGTTGCCGGCTCTTTGAAAAGAGCTTCCAAATCAACCCCACTCCCTTTCTCTCCCCAAACCTGTTGTCCCCAAATAATTATCTACTCTCTTATAAGTTGTTATCGAACCGGCTTCCACCAGCCTTTCAGGCAATGCCTTCCAGATCTGAACAACTCGCTCTGTGACAAAATTTCTCCTCACCTCCCCTCTGTTTCTTTTAACAACTATTTTAAATCGGTGTCCTCGGGTTACCGACCCACCCACCAGAGGAAATAGTTTCTCCTTGTTCACCCTAACAAATCCCCTCATAATTTTGAAAACTTCTATTAACTCCCTCATTCCTGGTACCATCCTGGTAAACCTCCTTTGCGCCCTCTCCAATGTCTTGACATCCTTCCTAAAATGTGGTGCCCAGAACTGAACACAGTCTCTCGCTGAGGCCTAACCAGTGTTTTATAAAGATTCATAACTTCCTGACTTGTGTATTCTATGCCCCTATTTATAAAGCCCAGTATCCCGTATGCTTTTTTAACAGCTTTATTTTCCTGTCCACCACCTTCAAAGATTTCCTTATATGACCCCCAGGTCTCTCTGTTCCTTTACCCCCTTTAAGATTGTACCATCAGCGTATATTGCCTCTCCTCATTCTTCATCCTTAAATGCATCATTTCACATTTCTCCACATTAAACTTCATCTGCCGCCTGTCTGCCCATGTTACCAGTCTGTCTATGTCCATTTGCAGTCTGTTACTATCCTCCTCACTGTTTACTACTTTTCCTAACTTAGTATCATCTGCAAATTTGGAAATTGTCCTCTCTGTACCCAAGTCCAGGTCATTTATATAGATCAAAAACAGCAGTGGTTCCAATACTGACTCCTGGGGTCAACATTGCACACTATCCTCCAGTCAGAAAAAACAACCGTTCACCACCACTCTCTGCTTTCTGTCTCCCAACGAGTTCTGTATCCACTGCCACTGTCACTTTAATACCGTGGGCTTCTATTTTGCTTACAAGTCTGTTATATGACCTTTTGAAAATCCATTTAACTACATCAACCTCATTACCTTCATCCACCCTCTCCGTTACTTCATCAAAAAATTGTCAGGTTTGTTCAACATGATTTGCTTTTAACAAATCCGTGTTGGCTGTCCTTTATTAACCAATATTTTTCTTAGTGAAAATTTATTCTGGATTATAGTCTCTAGAAGTTTCCCCACTACTGGCGTTAGGCTGACTGGCCTATAGTTGCCGGCTTCATCCTTTTGCCCCTTTTTGTACAGGGGATTAACATTTGCAACCCTCCAGTCCTCTCGCACCGCCCCGGGGTCCAAGAAGGATTGAAAGATTGCGGCCAGAGCCTCCGCTATTTCCCTCAGTAACCTCAGATGCATCCCGTCCAGACCGGGTGACTTATCTACCTTGAGTACCGACAACCTTTTCAGTACCTCCTCTCGGTTTATTCTTATCTTATCCAATTTCTCTCCTCTCCTACGGTACTGTGGCATTGGCTGCATCCTCTTCTTTTGTGAAGACAGATGCAAAGCGCTCATTCAGTACGTCAGCCACTCCCTCTGCCTCCACAAGAAGATTTCCTCTTTGGTCTCTAATTGGACCCACCCTAACTCTGACTAAT